ATGCTTCAGAGACCTGTAGAATCTTGTCAGCATGCATAGGTATGTATATGCACATATTTAAATCATAAATGTAATTGCTTGTTTCGTTTTATTGTTTGTTATTCAGTCATATTGTTTGTTATTAAGATTGTTTGAGTACTCTAGTAATTTCCTTTTACTTTGCTGTGAAACTAATGAATCATGCTAGTAAAATGTATATTTGATGTTACAATAATATCCTTCTTTAATCATTACTGTCTGTGTTTGTCTACATTTGTATATGTGTTAAGCATTCAGCAATAGCTGATTTATGTCTTCAGATTGAAGCGTTACATTGATCATATATTGTAATATCAATAATAATATTTGTTTTTGCCAGATTGCTTCATTCTAAGATCAATAAGGTTTTATGCTAACATATATTTGTTGCATAAATGTTATGTCTGGCTGCAGGCATCTTACTATGTGTCTAAGTGCATCATATATGTATTATATCATGAATGTACTGTTTGTTCGTTTGCTTTACATTATCATTTATATCTGTGTATTAATTTATTAACATTATGTTTGTTAATTGATTGTTTCTAATGCATCCTGAGTAACTATGCAATCTGTTGCATTGTTTCTTTAATAGCCAACATAGTTATCTGTTGTAAATCATTTCTATCATGTGTTCGTATTATTTATCATTAACAATGTTATTGTGAATTGTTACAATCATAGTATTATATATATATGTGTATGTTATGGCTATTGTTCTTTACTTTTTCTTTTACAAAGAATAATGTATTGTAACACAATCTGCATATAAGTAATATATCGGATTATGTTTACTATAATCGTCTCCTAGCATTCTTTAGTTAATCTAGTACTATGTACAATTGTAGTATTTGTTCAACGTTTTATTTGTTAATTGGTTTGCTAGGTAAAACATTTTATATATTGGTTTTATTTATTTTATTTGAATCATTGTATAGATGTACCTATTAGTATCTATCTGATGTATTTCATAGTATTATAATGCTGTTCACACTTGTATTAATTGCACAGTGAGGGCAAATTAATCATTTGTACAAGAATCGATTTAATAGTTTTATTTGATTATATGTATACACTCCATACTTGTTTATATAGTTATTATCTGTGTATTGTTTGTTGTAGTTGTGAATTATATTGCAATTATATTTGTATTATCCTATGGATATATTATTTATTGTTTTATGTATGTTCCAAAGTATTATTTTTGTTATTCATCACTTTTATCCATGAACTATAGTCTGGGTTAATGAATTATTTCATTATATGATGTGATAATTGTCTGTATATTATTTATTTTCGTATTAAACACCATTAAGTTAATTATATTATCATATTAATATTATTCACCAAGTATGAGCATTTGTTTCATAGTAGAATTATTATTTATTTAATGTTGAAGTTCAATCACACATTGTGTTGACTTCTGTTATTTAGTTCCAATCAACGTAGTTTTGCTTTGTACCAAATGATTTACCTTTATGATCTGTTATGTCTGTTTGTAACTTCTATTACTTAGTCAGTACTTAGTCTGTGAATTTTGTTATTCTATTTTTTGTAGTGTCTGTAGTATTATACTTTCTGTTCCATTGTTTATATTTAGTTATTAATTTTTCGTGCATATTATCCATTTTCTCCCCTTCAATTCAAGAAGGTATTTCTTTAAAGAATTAGATATTTCTTTAATGTTTATTAATCATTGTTATAATATAATATTTATATATAATAATTGTAATTGCTTTCATAGTTTGATTTCTAATTATTAGTATTTTAAAGCAGTGTGTAACGTTTGTTATGTTCTATAATAAGTAATTTAAATGTTATTACTATTATATCTTTGTTACTGTTAATGTTTGTCAACTTATATAATGTGTATTTTGTTCATTATAGTAGATAAGTACACATTATGTATAATATACAAGTTTTGTTTGTGCTCATTATCTTTTATTAATTATTGTTCATAATTATGAATGAATATTTTGTTTTTGTGTTGAAAACATATGGTAATTCGTTTGTTTCTGTATAATATTCATTTAATAACATTGTAATTATTATTTATGTAACACTTTTAGTAAATGTACTGAGTTCTATTAAATATGCTTGTATCTGTTATTACCTATTTTAATATTATATTGTCCGAGATAATGACTTAAACATTTTATTAATTTATTTAATCATATTATATTATGATTGTTTTTGATTGTAATTATTATAATAATGTGTTTGTAATAATAATATATGTATTATTCATTGTAATAGCCTTATCAGCTTAATGCTTTGCTCCTACAAGCTACATTGTCACAATGTAAATTTAATAATTGTTTGTTAAGGTATATATGCTGTACAGTTAATGTTGCTGTTACAACTTCAAAA